AACTAAACAAAGCCTTGTAAGCATGAAGAATGAACTCCTAATCGCAGTTTAGTCATACTGATTCTATGAGCTTGATTTTTAACTGTCTTAAGACATTCTTCTAAGTGGAAATCTTTTTTAATTTCATTGTTGGTATATTTTCCTCTAGAGCCATCTGATATTGTTGCTTCAAGCTTTTAAGCAATCTTGAGAATTTTTTTTCTGTAACTGTTGTTCTTAACACGTTGCTAGTGAATAAATATTCACGTTGCTAGTGAATAAATATCAGTTGATCCACTTTGTGGTGAATCACCAGCTACCAGTTCAGGTGACAAATGAGGATACCTTTCTTAATATTTTTGCGTTTTTACTTTGTGATAATTTGTAACATTTTCCTTTGTGAAGTGGGGGGCATGCTTTTCTAAAGCCAGTGATCAGTCAAAGACCTCTTACTCCCACCATGGTATTATTAGGCTTTACATCATTATGAATATGACCCAGAAGGTGAATTGCATTGACACCCTCAATCAATGTCAGAGACAGATGATCTGGTGAACAAGACTGTGACAATTTCATTGTTTCAAGTCTCCTGGAAAAGCTGTCTAAAGTTACAGTTCCTTTTTCTTAAAACCAATAAACTGGGTTATTCAAATAAGGTCTGGTTCTAAGGAAAAGTCAAATAGCAGGGGCAAACTAGAGTCAGGAATAAGGTTTAGCATGACTTTCACTTCATTGATAAAGTTGGATCTCAGAAAATGCTTTTCATTACAAATTTTTTAACATTTATACCGTGTTTATATTTGCCCCTATAGCAACTCAAAAGGTCCTATTTCACTTCAAGCAAATCTTTCGTAATTATCATACTTGTAGGAGTATCCGCTTTTTACAATAAGTGCTAGCAGATAAAGAAGTCTTATTTTCTTCTTTTGTTTTCTTTCATGTATAAAAGTAGCTACTTGCTTTTTGATTAACGCAATTCCTTCTTTGCCTGCTTTTTCTCTTTTCATTCCATTCTTGGAGCACTGAACTTGTTGACTGCATGTTGCTTCCACATGGTGTTTCAACTCAAATATGTGGGGGGTTTACGAGCAACTCGCACCAAACGGCATGGTTAAGAATTCATAAAGACCACTGTGTGTAGCAAAAGCAGTCTTTTTTCCTTGAGTTAGGATACATTTCTATTCGCCAAAAACCACTTTTGAGATCCAAGGTGGAAAATACACTTGTGACGGCTAAAAAGAATCAAGGGCATCAGCATCAAAAGGCATTGGAAGCTACCTACTTTAGTGACTTTATTAACTTTACGAAAATCAACACAAAATTTATGTGATCCATCCTTCTTTTACCATAACAAGTGAAGAGCTCCAAGGAGAGACAGACTCAAGTAATTCCTTTTTCACGAATTTCGTCCACCTGACGGTCGATTTATGGGAAGTTACAGTCCACATATTAAATTGGTCCCTCACAATTTGTTTGATATCCTCTCGGATCAGTGATCTTTTACATGTTCTCAATAAAAAAATGACAACATAAATATTTAGGTTTGACACACATTCTATATTATCTCATCAATGTAGTAGACCGATCCATGGAGACATTATCTAAATCGTTAAGGATTATTAAAATGGAACCAAGGTACATTATGATGATTTCAAATCTGTATGACAAAGACCCAGAGCCAATTTCTTCTTAAAACTGCCTGGTAATTGAAGCCAAATGTACACGGTAGATTGCCATATCGCTCGTTTAAATTTAGATTATAAAGCATCTCCAAACCTGTTGTAATGCAGATGTCTCCTAGACATTTTCCTTTCTTATCAATTCTTTGGATGCCATAACTTAACTCCCACATAGTCTTACAGGTGGTGTGTAAGATGTTCTTGTGAATTTCTAATGAAGGCAGAGGTTCCATTAAAGAAAGGTCATTGAGCGTCTTCAACATCGCGATGGCACAGGGAGAATCGTTAGTTTTTTCAAATGCAACCACTGTCAACCGGTCCTCCTCCGCACGAAATGATTCGGAAAGTTGGTTCTTATCCGTATTGACGTTCAGCTGATGTTTTGAAGCTTTGCTTGGACCCAGCATTGATTGCAAAAATTTAAGCTGGCATGATTCCGAAAGTGACTGTCCATCTGGATAAATCTGAGTGAGAAAAAAATAGAATAGAATGGTAAATCAGACGAACTCCATGCAGTTCTTGTGTCGTGTTAACCAAGTGTGCAAAGCAAATACGTGGAGCTGATTTAATGGGTTATTGCATGTAAAAGAAAAACTTTTATTTACTTGAGGTTTTTTCTTGGTTGATTTTCAATGGGTTTTGCCCACTTATGATGTTTATCATCTTCTTCTTTATCACCTTTGTACAGCTTCAAGGATAGCTGAATGATTCGATGCACTGTAATACAAAAAAAGTCTTGTTCTTGATAGTTATCCTTTTCACAAAAATGTTTTTATAGAAGTTCCTTGATATGTGTAGTATGGTATACAAAAGGGTAAAGGGTTGGACCTCAGGCCGGAGCCTCCCCATATGTAACTTTTGCTGAGAATTAAAAAAAATGATCATTACCTTTTTGCTAACAAAATTTGTCTTGGAACCAGTTAGAGTAGCTGGAAAGGACCTATCCCGCAACATGCTGTACATTTCGGCTTGGAGACTTTAGGAAGAAACCCATTTTTATTGGCTTCGCCTGGGAGTGAAGACATTTTTTTGCAGGCTTCATCTCAGATTCTTGCTTGGAGACACACTTATTCTCAGGCTTTTTTGCGGAGACTTGAGTGAAGACTCACCAGCTTATTCTGCACTGTCACTGCTGTATCTCTTTCTGCCAGGGCTCGAATGAACAAACTGTTGACCATCCCTGGCATCGAAGATCTACCACAAAAACAAAAAGTCAAACATTTTGTAATACAAACATTTGTAACAATCAATCAACAAGTTAACAAGTTCAAACGCAGTTGTAACGTCTGTTTGATTCAAAATTGCTTTCTTGTGTGCGTGTAAAGCATGTGCTTTGAGGAGATATTGTACACTGACAAACACTGATGGACTGTTTGTGGCAATATAACCAGGCATGGTTAGTAACCATGTGACAAGGTTGTCCATGGGCATGAGCATACGCTAGTTGCTTCGTAAGCAAGTAATTTTCTTTCCTTAATACTTCTACATTATTTTTTTCATGTTCTTTCCTTGCTCAAGAGTGCAGTCACGAAAAAAAGTGCTCTTCTGCAGCGGCAGGAATTTAACACAATTCTTTGAACGTTTATTAGATGATGCCTTGACAAGAAATATATGTATATACGTAAAAGGATCCCCTCTCTAAAAAATTAATCCACATTTTTGCGTCTAGCACGATAAAAATTGAAAAATGAAGAGAAAGGATCTCTGTTAAACTCCATATTGCAATTTTAAATGCTTTTCTATGTGGTTGAATATAGTTAAACTGGTTGATTCATTAATGGTGACCTATACTGTTCATTTTTTTCTTATTATTAGAGCCAAGAGCAATATACGGAAATCATGCCGCCACCCCTACTTACCCCCAAAACATAACCATTAAATGACAATTTTTTAACAGTTAAGTTTAAGTACAAATCAAAGAAAAAGTTTAAGTTCAAGTACAAATTGATTTACTGGGTTAGACATGGCGAGGCTAGATTCTAATAAAATGGGGAACTCATATTTCATCACCTACAGTCTGATAGATGTTATTTAACTTACCATTGTGCATACTTGATATTTCTTGTCTGATTGCATGACCGAGGCTCTTCACTTGGCTCATCACCATCACAGAAGTGGACAAAGAGGTGTCTTGCCTCTTGCAAGGCCTGATAGAAACGTGGAAATGTGTTTGCGAATTTCCCACGTCTCTTCTCTTCTTCGATTTTTTTGGCTACCTGATGGCCAGAGAGATCTCTTATGCCCCGTCTTTTCTAGCACTTTCTTTCACTTTAGATAGACCCCTCCCTTTGGCCTCGTCTGTTTCCTCACGATTTTCGTCTTCTGCACCCTCTTCTTCTTCCTCGTCCATCGGACTTTCACTGTTGCTATCACTTTCTGGGATGAAGTTCTGTACATCAAAATCTTCCATTAGTCCAAATGAATAAACTTGGTAAGAGAAGTTTTCAAAACTAGTAAGAGCATCCATTAAAAGTAGAACTTAAACTTTTACTCCTCACACAAAAGTCAAACGAGTAACGACCGAATCAGGTCAAGCTGTATGTCTTTATTTTGTAATTTTGCAAATTGAAGCCAATATTTTCGTTCTATCTCTGATAACTCGTGGGCTTGAGTTAAATGATTTGCTAATCGAACTTAAAATTTAGAAAGACATCCCAGTATGGCACAGTGTTTACATTTTAGTTTCGTCGTGTTTACAGTACGAATATTAGATACCAACTGAGTAAAACTATTTGCCCCACGAAATTTATTGTTGATTTTCGAGGGAACAATGGGCACCAAGGGCAGAAAGGGCACCAAAAATCGGTGTTGTTTCTCAGGCACATAGAGGAAAGGCAGGTACGTGGCTAGACAGAGAACAAGCCATGTTTATATCAAGCCATATTTATTTACAAACTATAAAAAAAAGACATTTTTTAGACATTAAGGAAACTTTTATATACAATGCTACTAGTGAGAAAATTATCGACCAAATCTATTTTTTACAAACAAAACTTAAATCTCGAGAGGCACAGTACTCATGCCATGTTCTAACACCCTGCGTTTCGGATAAAAATATGAAAAGGTGTCCCTAACTTGCTCATAAGTGTACATCGTGTTCTTAACAGCACGGAAACCCCGATTCACCCCTGCACTATTTTGTTTTGTAAGCAAGACATTAAGGTACTTGTCTTTGTTGATGTCATTACATTTCTTGTTCACCCCTTTACAACTAAACTTATCTTTAGTCGTGGAACACAAACCCACGATTCCTTGTACTTCCCATTCTACCTTAAATAACCCTTGGCTTCGTTTGTTGTAAGCCTTGTGTTAAGGCGTATCAGTTCTTGGAAACCAGTTGCATTAATCTTGGTCAAATTCAGCCCTAAGTTCTGGTTTGACTAGACTTTCCACACTTTCCCCTGAAATAGCGATATATGCACTGTCTGTGTCCATTTCGCACAACTGAAAATCTGCACGATCCAGATACTCATCTAAAAAATCGTAATAAAATTGTAACATGCGTAACTTGGCATACTGATAAACGAAAAAGGCAACTTGAATCGGTAAATCTAACTTAATTGTCTTCTTACAGGACTCTACTTCATAAGTGTCGTTGGTAATATTCTCAAGCTTTCCGAACAGAGGTGTGTTGACTTTCCTGCTAGCTTCAGCATCAGAGCAATATTCTACATTCCTGTGCTTCAGCTGGTTGATGATTGTCTTGCCGTAACCAGAATTCCCACCATGAGAGATAAAACAGATTTTACAAGTTTCTACTATTTGTGAAAATGTATATTGTTCCCACCCCTTTATGGATGAAAAAATGAAGCGAAAACTTACCGATTTCATGGTGTCCGTGATGATGGCCTTCCTAGGATCAGCATCCCCAGCTCTCCTTGCGTCGGACACTGCGTCTCCAAAGGGTTGAAAACAGGATTTAACCACTTGGTGCACTTTGGTGACCTCTAAATCATGTTCCAGGTACCACTTGAGGAGGGGTGTGGCCAGCAGGATCTTGTCACCTTTTAAATTACAAATCAAGCTTTGTCGAGGTTGGGTCATGATGTCATGTTCTTCTGCATAAGCTTTCATGAAGTCTCCAATATCATCACAGCTGATATAGATTTTTTTTAAAGATCAGGCACATTTCACTAAATTTCTCTTTGACATGGTCAGGTACATGAATATCCACTTCCACACACCCAAACAAACACTCATTTTGCACCTCGCTCAAAATTCAATCCGGGCTCATAATGTTGATCGTATCCAAGGTTCTCCTCACTTCAGGGGCAATGAATCGCTGCATTTCTTGGTTGGTTCTCTTAATCTGGCGCCATTCAAACTCTTACATCTCCACGACACGGTAGCCTTTGCTGCAAATATACTCGTTGTTGGCTCTGGTTTCTTCCAGCAGTTCTACCATCGGTTTCTTGTGTTTCTCATTAACTTCTTTTCCCTGATTAAGGGCACAATCGTGACGGTGCCAGAAACAGCCGTGAAACTGATAGACCGTCTGTGTCTGGGCATTAAATCCATTGACGGGAAGTCTTCTGCCACCAATATGTTTCCCTGTATTGTTCAGCTGATGTCTGATATATATTCTCTCTTGGTGCGCCACCCACTCTAACCATTCAATCGCCATCTGAATGGACCCCTTTGGTTTGAACTCATTCTCTGCAAGGCGTCGTGTGTAGCTGCCAGTGGGCATGTCTTGCATAATAGCCCATAGATACAAGGCATTCGTGTCATACCCCACGATTTTTTGACACAGCTTAGCTGCCTGACCTCTCTTTGCTTCCCTCATTTGGTTTTGCCGGCCTCATGGTAGCAGTGAAAGATGATACCTGGCCCACCAGTGTTGCTATCTTTGATTAGATGATACAGTTCGCTATCGGATTGGTTGAACAGGCTGAAGAAGGTTTGTTCGTCCAGGAATGAGAAGAAGTACTTGAGGGTGAGACCAGGGACAGAAATGCCTTCTTTGAACATGTCGATGTTTTGCTCTTGACAGAACGCACTCATCTTTTCTACAGCTTCTAAGAAAGGCACCACACCCAAGTTATTATACCAGGTGAGAAATTCGTTAACTGTGATAATCTGATTTTCCTCTCACACTTGTTGGCAGTATTGGTACTCTGCTTCTGAGGTGTTTTGATTTTTGAGAGTAGACTAGAACGCAACGTGAGGGGGCAGCAATGTTTGTTCGAGCTTATCCAACCCATCTACCCACTCATAAGGAAAGAACCCTTTGGTCTGTTCACATTCGAAGGCTTTCAGGAACTGGTCGTAGCTGAATCCAGGTGCTAGATAGTTGGTGATATCCAGAAACTTGAGGAACTTGGTCTTGTGAAGCATGTGATTGTTGTTTTTCTTCATAGAGAACTTGATAGAGTGATGTTTGATGAGGTACGGCAACAGAAATCGCTTGGCGATGTTGATATCATATTTTCCCAAGTTGAAACCCAGCACTGGTAGTTGATCGATGTAAGCATTGAGTTTTTCTTCTAAGGCCTTCAGCACTTTGTCATCACTGACATCCTCTGAACCACCTACAATATCTTGTAACTCTTCCAGTTGGTCCCGTGTCTGTCTCAGTTGATGTCTTCTTTCTTTGTCCACTTCAACGTTCAAGCAGGAGGCAGGGGTTGTTTTCATCGCTCGGCCCATCGTCAATGAATGCACGATCTTCATTCTCAGCCTCAGTCTCTTTCTTCTTATCATCATCTTTGCCATGTGTCTGAGTCTTGGATATTGACTTCATATAGTTTCTCCAACTCGTCCAGTTCACTTATCTTGACACCATGAAATTTCTTTTTTCCTAACCCAGCGTTGCAGTACTGTTGATAATACTACTGGGTATCTCTCTCCAGATTCCTAGTATGACAGCCATTATAAAGTGCTAGGCAGCGGAAGAAGCAGAGGTTGTATTTATAGGGTTTGCCTGTTCGACGGTTACGGTCAAGAGCAGCAATACCATGATTCTCAGCTATATATGAAGGAAGAAATGCTCCTCTGCCGATGGGATGAGCGCAGATTTTCCAAACAAGAAAACGTCACATTAGTGACCAGATCCGCCACCCATTTACTGCTGGGCCTTTGCTGGCGAACCCCCTCCAGGAAATCAATATTACTGATTTGGTCAAACGAGCGTTCTAAATCGTCTTGATTGGAGACCAGAAAAGGCTGTTCCAACACCAAATTATTGTTGGCAGAGGGGTGATGGTACTGGAGAGCACCCGCTTAGGTGTTGCGCAGAATAAAACCAAACGACAAGTTGATTTTAAAGACGGTGGGTGATCAGCAAAGACGCGGCTCAGTTGTTCGTGGAGGCTGGGAGGGTTGGTGGTAGACAGGCGGAATTTGTACCAATCTTGAAGTCTGTTGTGGCAGCTAAATCGGGTACAGATTTGTCGCCAGTGTTGCCAGTATGTGTTAGCAACATCGTTGTAAGACCTTGAAACAAAGTTTGAAGGGATAAGAACTGGATCTGCATCCCAGCTAGAACCTGCAGCAGTAGGCGACACTTCAGGAGCGGATTGAGGAGTGGCTGATGGTTCTGACGCTGTATTCGCACTTGCCATCCTCTGGGCCATCCTCTTATATTTTTTCGCAGCTGGTGCATCATTTGAAGTTGTAGCGCTGCGTTTACGGCTGTTTGCTTGTTGTGTTGTTGATGAGCGGTGTGGAGATGCGTGTTGTAAGGTGCATGGTTATGAAAGGTTTCTCTACAGGTTACGCAAGTAAATGTTCATTTGGCAGCTCGCTTGTCGTGGGCTTTCAGGTGACGATTGAGAGCAGATTTTTCTGAACACCTCTTATAACCGCAGGTGCATTGGAATGGTTTCTCTCGTGTGTGAACGCTGTTATGTTACTTTAAGTTGTCTGAGTGGTCAAAAGTCTTATTGCAGATGTTGCAACAATATTCTGTGCGGCGCTTTTTGGCTGCGGGTTCACCATCCCCGGATTGAATTTCCTACAATTAGTGAATATGACCTAGTCTTAGTGTAAAGCTAATCTAACAAGAACGTGTTACTCCGATAAACTCTCTTTTTTGTACAATGAGCGTCTCAACAATTGGGTAGTTGGTTTGGTTTGATGTTGAATCGACAGAATTAACTTAATTTAATGTGTACTCATCCACAACACAAGTGAGTTACAGAGATCAGCGGGTGGGTACCGTTATAACAACATATGTTAAACTATGTTGCTATATTCAACTGCTTAGTGGAAATAACTTAAAGATGTTCTGATAAAAGACCTGTTTGAGTAGACAATAAGCTGTCTATTTTCTTCAACTCGGTTTGATGATTGAATGTTATAACATTGAGCAAATGCTTTGTTTTTATTTTGAACAAAAGAATAGAATAAATTTCAACATGGGTGCAATCATTCGCAAAAACGAATTTACTTTCAGAGGAGATAATATTTGATCAGTGATAAGCGGAATGGATCAATAATAAACTATTTACGCCTTGAAATCATAAATAGCAAGCCAACTGTAACTTTTATATTCTTCTGACTCTTACACGATGGAATTAATGATATTGTCTTTTGGTGCGCCTAAACAATGTAATTTTCAAAAGGTTTACATTTTAAAAACTTTGATCGGAAATGGAACGTTTGCACTTAGCGTATTCTAAACCAGTGAAAATGAAAGATCACTTACGGTTACCAAAGGATCCCAAGTCGGTAATTCAGTGGCTTCGCCATACCACTACAGGTAAGTAAAAGATAACAACGTGAGATTTAGCGCACAAAGAACACTGCGTTCAATAAAAGAAAAATAATTCTATGATCATGAAATGAAAAACTTACTTCGTCAAAGAAATCATCCCATGTATCTTGCGTTGATAACGGTGCCAACTCGTTGTTATTCTAGATAAGAGAAGAAATCAGATTACTTAGGTTTTAAAATCTCATTCATGTTAAAGAAATAGGTGGGCACTGAACTGATAGGCTAACAATTTCGTATTGTTGTTTCATCACTAAACAATTCATTTATGTTGTGTATAAAAAAGAACAAGGAGTAAACCTTACCTTGTCTAGAGCCATACGTGCCATCTCATTTACGGTTGTATTTCTTCAGCTGTAAACAGTAAAGCAAAGAAACATATTTGATGAGTAGTACATGACAACTGTCTACAAAAAAGTTGAAGCAAATCGAGTTTGGGGTCCTTTTGTTCCTTTAAAGAGGATAACAAAAGATACGTGATTTAGTTTAATAGGTCAGATGCATATCTACCCAAGTCGAGTCTATTAACATGACGAACTTAAATGATGTGTTAAAAATCTCGTGCACAGAAAATTACTCAAGGTCGTTTAGGACAAGCAAAACTTACCGAATCACTCAGTAGATTGTTGACTTCAAAACCCGCTTTAACATCCCCTGGCATCTATAGTAAACGAGAAAGACTAAAGATCAATTCTCTATTTAAACTTAGGTCTTTGTCGAATTTCCAAATCAATCGGGATTTTCATCAAGTATATGCCACAATTCACAGGCAAAGACATGTTGCACAAACTTCCCATTTAATGTAACGGCATGCAAAACGTAGTAAAGGACATGACCAGCAAAAAATTCAAGTCAATAAAGACTAGAGCTTCCTGGTCTGCAGCTGCCCATGACGCATNGAGTCTATTAACATGACGAACTTAAATGATGTGTTAAAAATCTCGTGCACAGAAAATTACTCAAGGTCGTTTAGGACAAGCAAAACTTACCGAATCACTCAGTAGATTGTTGACTTCAAAACCCGCTTTAACATCCCCTGGCATCTATAGTAAACGAGAAAGACTAAAGATCAATTCTCTATTTAAACTTAGGTCTTTGTCGAATTTCCAAATCAATCGGGATTTTCATCAAGTATATGCCACAATTCACAGGCAAAGACATGTTGCACAAACTTCCCATTTAATGTAACGGCATGCAAAACGTAGTAAAGGACATGACCAGCAAAAAATTCAAGTCAATAAAGACTAGAGCTTCCTGGTCTGCAGCTGCCCATGACGCATAAATCCTTTCTCAATGCAAACTGCGACACTCCCATTTGGAACTGTAAGATTGACTTCCACTCATGACTGAAGAACATTTCTTCATGCTTTCAGCCATTGCTTTCCTGTCAACTGACTGCTCCAGATAGAGGCTCTTGTAAACAGCAAATAGTGCATTCTGGTCTTCAACTTCAAGGCTCTGCTCTTTGTAGTTTGCTGGCAGCTTAAGGTGACTAAGGTCAGACCAGTCAGCTCTATTTACGCGAATGGCGGTAGTGGACGTCAATCAGTGATTTTTTTGACATGTTACGTCGAGGAGCTAGAAAACTCGTTCAAATTATGAACGTGTGACATGTTATTTAAAGAGCTGGCAGCTGATGGAAAGGAATTACTAATGGTCGGATTTGATGAAGACTGATTGCACAAGTTGACATCAAGCCTTCAAATTCAGTATTGTACTGTGTTAGCAGCTTAACACTGTCAAGAAATCGACAAAGTATCACCTTTCTCATTAACTTAAGTTTCAAAGACCCTTGTTCGTAGAAACACTTCCCATGATATCATTGTATCTCTCAAAACTGAAACACCAGAAACTATGAACTGGACCGTGGTCCATAATAATGTTCTTTACGTGACAGTGAAGATGCATGTGTGGGGTGATGGCTTTAAAGCAAGTCAGCTCTTTGTATATCTAAAGTTGTGACAGAAATAAAATGTCAGACAAAACATGGTACTAGTGATTATTATTACAATGAAAATGTCTTATTTAACCTGACATTTTTATCGCTAGCGCTATCGTACCATTTTTGCAGGTCTTACTTGCTAATGATCCGATTTTCTCTTTCTTTCTAATTCAAGTCACTTTTGCTTATTTTTCTCTCTTTGTTTCTTGTTGTCTAATACCTGATCCTTTATCTCGAGTCTTTTGTGGCCCATCACTGGTATTAGAGTTTCTAGGCATCTCTCTGTGATACACATTAATGCCTCCTCCTTCCTGTCAAGTGCTGAGTTATATCATACATGTGTAAAATTTTATATTGGTCCACATCCTCTTTGCAGGCGCTTAAACAAAACATTCAAATCCAGGGTATCAGTTGTCTCCCCCTCAGGAATTCCATGAATAATGCGTGCTTTTGACACTTGCTTCTTATGGCCTGGCTTTTCCTTAAACGCTTCGTCTGACTCACCCTCTGATCGATAAAGCTACTTGTTGGCTTATTTTGAGGCACGTTTCATTACGTTGGCCATCCCGTTCATAATCTTTTTTGACTAAATATGCTTGTGTTGAAAGTTGAAAATTTAAAGAGAAAACTAAGTCATAATCTGATAGTGTTGTATGGCATATCCAATCTAAATATGTGATTATGGCTGTGATATGAAACTGTCCGAAACTGCAGAATATCCTTGGTTTATTTAAGACTTCACAAAAAATGAACATTTGGCAAAGCTTTAAGGGTATTGTCTTCCCATGTAAAAGTGAGACAGAGAGGGTCTATTGCCATTACAAACCTTCCCATTAAATATTACTCCCATGTACATGTAAACCTTACCTTGCAGTTTTGAACAGTAAACGTTTGGTCAGTTTTGCATTGTAGCTGTTGTTGGACTTAAACCAGATAAAGCATAATACCATACAAACTATATGAGTTGTAGAACGTCTCCTGCCAATAAAAGAGCAGGAAAATAATAATAAAAACAAATACAAAATAATAATGAAAATACTTACATGGCCGGCACCAAATGACCCCTTAGGAAATGGATACTGGTTTGCCAGCAGCATGGCAACATGATCTCTCACTAAAGCACAAGACTCCTGTCTGAGCCATTATTGTGGTGCATAACTGGCGAACAAGGGAATTTTGCTGTTCCAATGAGAGGTAGCTCTTTGCTAGCCCTTGCTCAACATCAGGTTCCCATTGCGTGTTTAAACAGACCAAACAAAACAATCTGAATCCACATAATAGTTATTTTTTCCAACTTCCAATAACTCATTCAGGATGGTTCAAATTTATATTTCCAAAAAAAAAAATCATTCCTACCTGTAACCTTCCCATCCCCAAGCAGACACACACTCGGACATCACATAGACTCCACCTTATGAAAAACTAATGCTGCTTTAAGTTGTAGTAAATAACTGACCTTTGGTAACCTACAAACAACATCCTGTTTTTCGTGACATTTAATGAATAAAATAATTACATCCTGGTCTATTGCAAGACTGGCTGCTCATACAGCTTACAGAAATGTCTTAATGTGGTGAACACTCTTAGCAAATTTTTACTTACAACTTTGTTTATTGTATGACCTATTATAGTATAATATAGTATAGCATATCCTTATTGTGCCTTAGTCTGCAAAGGGAAGTATTAGTTAAGTTACAATGAGGGTTTTATATTCACTATTACACCAAATTATCTAAAACATGAACAGAAACAACAAAATTATACCATATATACTGTTACGATGTCGGATGATAATTATACTATTAGTTAATTAGATTTTTGGCTCAGGATCTGTTTTCTATTTTGAAACACTAGATGGGCGTATTTGGCTATAACTTGAGAAGTATTGTCATTTTCTGATCATAGTTAATATAAAGTTC